CCTTGAATAAGGTCCCCACAGGCCTTTTTTGGCCTTCCTACAGAACATCTCACAAATTCCAGAGCTGTTTTTAAGGGATCCCTGAAAACTGTAACCATCTTAGAGACTTTGAGGGCTGAGGTATCCATTCATAAATATGCTGTGCCCCTAAGAGACTGGAGGAAGCCAGAGGTGGAAAGAATTGGGGGTAAGCCAGACCTCTAATTACCTCCCGACCCAGGTCCCAGAGTTTACCATGGGCCTGCCTGAAGATGTTCATCCAGTCTCTGCTTGATCATTCCCAGACCAGGAGGCCTTTGCCAGGACCCATCCTACCTTGTTATGAATGCAGCCCTGATTATTGGAGGGTGCTTTCTCACGTTGTGCCAAAATCTGCCTCTCTTGACTTCTTTACTCATTGTTCCCCAGGTATCTCTAAAATAATACTGTTTAACTCAACTTCCTCTCCTCTTGAATAGTACCTTAGATCACTGAAGTCACATGTCATGACTCCCCTGTATACTGTCTTCTCCAAACTAAATATCCTCACTTACTTTTTCAGATCATAAGGCAAATATACAAATATCATAACAATAATAAAGGCAAAACATACAATCACCATAAGAGGAAGATAAAAAGGTGGTCTGGAAATTTGATTTTTTTTAAGGAATGAAGTTTTTTTTAACTGAAAAGGTGAAATGTTTAACTGATATTGAGAAGCATTATGTCTTTCCATTGACACATATTCATCAAGTCACTCTATCCACCAATTCATCCTGTCAAAAAGGAAATGTAGCTTGATAAAGACTTTTTCTTGGTGACACCATGCCAGCCCCTGTTGGCCACCTCACCGAGTCTTTCCAAGTTACATTTAGTTTTTGCTTAGCTTTATTTACTATCAATGCCTACTTTGAGAAAAGTTTCAAAAAATAATACTTATCTGCATATGAATCATTGCAAAATGAATTTCAGAATGTGAATACCATCTATTAAGAATTAAGGGAGAAGCCAGCAAACCATCAGAATCCTAGAGGAGAACACAGGAAGCAAGCTCTTTGACTTTGACCACAGCAACTTCTTACTCAACACGTCTCCAGAGGCAAGGGAAACAAAAGCAAAAATGAACTATTGGGACCTCATCAAGATAAGAAGCTTCTGTACAGTGAAGGAAACAGTTAACAAAACTAAAAGGCAACCAATAGAATGGGAGAAAATATTTGCAATGAAATACTGGATAAAGGCTTAATATCCAAAATCTATAAAGAACTTATCAAACTCAACACCCCAAAAAAAAAAATTCAGTGAAGAAATGGGCAGAGGACCTGAATAGACACTTTTCCAAAGAAGACATGGTGGCTAACAGACCCATGAAAAGATACTCAAGATCACTCATCATCAGGGAAATACAGATCAAAACCATAATGAGATACCATCTCACACCTGTCAGAATGACTAAAATTAACAACTCAGGAAACAACAGATGTTGGTGAGGAACTGTTTTTACCCTGTTGGTAGGATGCAAACTGGTGCAGTCCCTTTGGCAGAGAGGATGGAGGTTCTCCAAAAGATAAAAATATAACCACCCTATGACCCAGCAACTGTACTACTAGGTATTTATCCAAAGAAAACAAAAATGCTGATTTGAAGGGGAACGTGCACCCCAATGTTTATAGCAGCATTACCAACAACAGCCAAACTATGGAAAGAGCCCAAATGTCCATCAACTGATGAACAGATAAAGAAGATATGATAGACACACACACATACACACACACACACACACACACACACACACACACACACACACAGGAATATTACTAGTAATCAAAAAGAATGAAATCTTGCCATTTGCAATAATGTGGATGGAACAAGAGTATATTATGCTAAGTGAATTAAGTCAGAGAAAGACAAGTATGCTATGATTTCACTCAAAGGTGGAATTTAAGAAGCAAAATGTGAAAATAGGGGAAGGGAAGGAAAAGTAAAATAAGATAAAAACAGGGAGGCAAACCATAACAGAGTCTTAATAGAGAACAAGCTGAGGGTTGCTGGAGGGGAGGTGGGTGGGGAATGGACTAAATGGGCAATGGTTTGGCCACTTGTTGGGATAAGCACTGAGTGTTGTATCTAACTGATGAATGCCTAAATTCTACTCCTGAAGCCAATACTACATTATATGTTAACTAACTCGAATTTAAAAAAAAGAAGTTTTCCAGTAGGACAGAGACCAATTTGACAACAGTGGAAATCCATTCATTAGCACAACCTTTACTTTTTTTCTATGTTATATATCTTCAAAGTGCTGCTTCTCATTACCTCCCAAGAAAACCACCTGCAATTCTTATTAGAGGATTTGTGGGGTGGTTTTTTTTTTTTTTCCTTTGGTGGGGAGGGAGCGAGGGGGGGGGCACAAAATAAAACAACCTAAAGTGATAAAAAAAAAAAAAGAATTAAGGGAGAAGCAATGTGATGAAATGAAATCTTTTCTTCTTACTCCTCTCAGTATTTCCTTATAGAAAATTCCAAGCATGGAAAAGTTGAAGGACTTTTACAGTAAACATCTATATACTTAATAACTAGATTAAATTACTGTTTGGCTAACTCTGATTTGTCACTTGTCTATTGGTTACTCTTTCTATCCATCACCCTAACTTTTTTATATAGGTCAGTGTAAGGTACATTCACCCTCACACTTAATCTCTAATGTGTCAGCACGCATGCCATTATTGGTTCTTTTCTGACACTTTTTTTTAAGTTTATTTATTTTGAGAGAGAGAGCATGTGCGCTGTGAAAGAGTGTGGGGGAGGGGAGGAAAGAGAGGTTAGAGAGAATTCCAAGCAGGCTCCCCACTGTTAGCACAGAGCTGGATGTGGGGCTTGGTCCCACGAAAAAAGAGATCATGACCTGAGCCAAAATCAAGAGTCAGATGCCTAAACAACTGAGCCACCCACGTGCCCCTTTTTCTGACTCTTTCAGTTAACACTGTCTTAAGAATCCCTTTGCCATTCTTTCCCTCATTTCCTTTACTTTCTCACTTTCAACATCATTCCTCCCACTTTCTAGCCCCTAAGTTCTAAATGATAAAACAAAGGGTGAAAAATCTGAGCATGGAACAGTCCTGAAGCAGCATCAGGACAGGACATGGAAAATCACACAGGGCCTCAGAGGCATTATCACCCCAGACCTGCAATGGATGAGGTCCTCATGAACAAACAGAAACCAACTGATAAGATAGGGAGGTAACAATGAACATGCCAATCTAATAACTTACTTTGGGAAACAAAGCTATCAAATACCCAGGCATTTCTTGATCAGCTTAGTTTCTCCCTGAACTAACCCTAAGGGTGGGCCAGATGGTGAAGGCTTTTGATGAACAGACTCAGAGGCATGGAAGTAGTTAGAAGCTGTGAGTGCCATGGAGCCTTATCAGCAATGATGTTTCAACAACTGGACAGCATCATGACTGACACCAAAAGGGTGCTTCATAATTAGCATAATGGAATGAGTCTGTGATTACTAACTACACTCTAGGAGAACTGCTGAACCAACCAGGAACTCACGTTGTGGATCAGGGCACCTCTCAACTGAACCATGCTGGGGAACCATGCCAGATTCTACCCTTCCAACTCCCTAGAAGTTCCATGACTACCATGCTCATTTGAATAACACATTCTGTCTTAGCCATATGTATGTCATTATTTCAGCTTTCGTGAAATCCTAATCCTGCTTCAGTCTAAAAGACGATCTGTCTTTAAAATGGGGGGCTTAGGGGGGCCTGGGTGGCTCAGTCCATTGAGTGTCCACCTCTTGATTTCAGCCCAGGTCATGATCATAGGGTTGTGGGATCAAGCTCTGTGTTGGGTTCCAGGCTCAGCGTGGAGCCTGCTTGAGATTCTTTCTCTCTTTTTTTTTTTATCTCTTTGCCCCTCTCCCCAGCTCACTCTCTAAAAAAAAGAATGAATGAATGAATGAATGAATCAATGAAATGGGATGTCCATGACTATCTAATCCCATATTTGAAAAACTGATTTTACTGGCTTCACTCTCAAAAAAAAAGGGGAGCCATTCCCTACCACCTGATGTTTTCTATGTGAAGTTTTCCTTGGTGTGCAAAAGCCATTCTTTTCCTCTATCTCAAGATTTAGGTCTGATAAGAAGTGTTAGTCATTTATTTTCTGGGATTCCTAATTACCAGTCCATACAGACTTGGCAAAGTGAGCCCATCAGTGGAAAGATAGCATCACCCAAGTGCAAATACGAACTTTTCACAATAGACGGCTTCTCTGTAGTGACAGCTACATCTGGTTTTGACAAATCAAATTCATTTTGCCACCCATAAAAGGAGTAGTCATAAAGTCTCAAGGTGAACCCTTGGGTTATGTAACACCTTCCTAAAGTAGTTCTTTCAAAGGTTTAGATGTCATCAATCAGATTATTTCATAGCAAGCAATTCCTGTCTTCTACTGCTTAACCATTTGTACCCCTGATCACTTTCCCTGTATAGATACCATGGTAAATATCTGCAAACATCAGCATTTCATGCTAGCATCACACTCTTCAGAGTTTATTTGAATGCAAACCATTATGGTGTTAGGGTGGAACATGACACAGAAACAAAGCTCTATCTCACGGGAGTTTACTTGCAGACTGGGAAAAAAAGTCAGACCCTTTTAGGCACTGGCACCTCAGTGGTAAAATGCCAACTGCCAACTACAGTTGATCTCCAATTGCCTCTATTACAAATGACCAAAATACAAGGTTCGGATGCACATGAAAACCTTTCAAGGGGGTAAAAGATACTCGAATGTAGAGAGTGGCTTTTATTACCGCAATGCTTCAACAGGGTCACAAGCACTCCGCGTCACAGACCTCAGAAAGGGCTTCAGCTAGATAATCCAAGACCAGTTCATGTAAGCTGGGCTTCGAGGCCATGTTTGTCCTGACTTCATTAGTTCTTTTTATTACTTTGATGCATCGGTCTCTAGTGATGGAAACTCTTTTTTTTTTTTTTTTTTTAAAGAAACTAAAACACAAAAGGAAACTGAAAAAGCTCCAAACTGATTTGGCAACAGCTAAGCAAGAGGCTGCCATCACAGTCCTGGAACTGAATGAGAAGATAAAGACTCTGTGTGAAGGAAAGCCAGCCCCTAGAGGTCAGTATTACCACGTGACAGTTGCACGCTGGCCCTCTATCCTGCGAGATATATGGTTTTACTGGCAACAGAGCTAAAAGCAGGGCCACAGTGCCAGGCAGCATACTGGCCCAACAGCATGCAGGTCTGGCCTGGCCTGACCTCCTTTCCACATGAATAGTGACATTACACAAACTACTGACTCCAGGCTGGGTTCACTTTCACTGTAAGTGAGGCAGAGAATGAATAAGCAGTTCCTTAAAGCAAAGTCTCTGAGGCTGAAGAGCTGGACTTGGTAGAACTGATAAGCGTCTCTGCACCAGCTGGGCGGCAGTGAGGGAGGTGAGCCAAAGGAGGACCCGACGGATGAAGCTCTTGAGTGGAGCGAGATGAGTGTGGACAGGCCTGTAGGCTAAGGCAGGCCCAGGGAAGTTAAAAAAAAAAAAAAAAAAAAAAAAAAAGCGTTTAAACAATAGGTGAATGAGCCAGAACCAAGCAGGCAAGGCTGGGAGAGGAGGAAATCTGGGTGGTTTAGAAAGATTTTAAAAGCCGCTTTGGTGTAGATCTTTAACAAGTCTTCTCTAAGAGACTATAAACACACATTGGGGGAAAAAGACCCCTCAGATCGTCATCATTAGCCATGATATGAGTTACCATTTAATACATTGTGCCAGGCATTTTGCTAAGCACTTCACATGAATTTAAGTCTCAGAATAAGCTCTGAAGTAAGTACGTTTATGGATCCCCAAAGAATAAACAGAGGCTTAGGGATGTTGGTTACTTTGCCCCAGATTAGTGTGAGCAACACCTAAGGCCATGAGCCTCCAGACAGCCACTTACACTACCCAGTGTGCCTATGCACCTCTGAACAGAAGGCTATTTTGTCTCTGTTCTACAGAAGGGCTATCCATCCTCATTCTGCCTGGTGGATCTCTTGCAAAACCGTGGGCCCCTGGATAAATGTCCTCCTCTCGTGTGTGGCATTCTTGTAAAACCAGAAACATGCCCTTATTCTTCCTCTGGTTTCCTTTATTATTCATAAATAATTCTGGAAAAAGAGGAGGACCGTGGAAATAAATGGAGGAGGGGAAAGTAGGCGATGTGGTGGCTTCAGAAAGGGAGACACATCAGCATCCCGGCCATGTGGTAAAGCTTTTAATATGAGTTTGGATTTAATTTTCTATTTTGAAAAGTGCTATCCTGGGGATGAAATGGCATGGAACACAGTCATCTTGAAAAAAAAATGCTGAAGGTCAATTTGTTTTTCTCTTTCCACAAAACATAATGATAGCTTATGAATTTGCTTTTGCCACCATGAAAACCTAGGGAATAAAATCCACTCAACGATATTATCCATTTAAAGGTCTTTATCCTAGGACACCATAGCCAGATTTCAGGTTAGTTGTGTAATAAGAAACTGATAATAATTGTACAGCACATTGGAGAAAGTTCTCCAATTCACCTGAGAGAAGCTTTCAACTTATCGACTATATTTTTCATCTAGTGAAAAAGATAATACTGCAAGGTATATAATTCTCATCGTTGACAAAAATATCATCTGCTGTCTAATGACAAATCCTGTCTAATGAAAAATCCTGTCTAATTTTGTCCTTTTGATATTTGAGTAGGTCAAAATTAAATTATCCTGAGGTACTGGGACTCTCACGGTTCAAAGAGGGTAGAAAACATTAAGTCCCACCTTCTGTGCCCATTTTTTTCTCTGTATTTGTTTTTTTTAAGCTACTAGAAGAAAAATCCACAAAACCTGAATGCATTATGAACAGCTACAAATTTAAATAAGGGCAGATGTTCCAAGGTCAATCAGGGATGAAAAGAGTGACTCGTTTTGGACCTATATGTTGCTTCCTTTTTTGGCCGAAAAAGTGAGTCCGTGGACTGACTTAAATCAAATATTTGCACTTTCTTGCTCTCCCACTACTCCCATGTTCCTCAACCTGAATTCAATAGTCCAGGAGACTGTCAAAGCACTTGTGGCCCCACAGTCATATTGGCTTTCATTCGCAGAGACTGTGGTCACCTTGTCCTACGTCTTAACACACTTGAAAGTAAAGTCTGCAAAGATGTCGGTAGCTTTAACACACAATGCCCTCCATTTAAACACACACCAGTTAGGGTTGACCCACCTCCCACACACATGTCTAGACCAGAACAATAGCCCTCCTCTAGTTATCTTGTATCCTTTTATAAAATGTTTGTTTTCAGTTCTCAGACCTCTGTTTGCAAATGACAGATGTCCCAGTCATAATAGCTTAAGGAGAAAGGGTGATTTATTGGCATAAACAAACTAAGAAAGGGCATGCCATTAGCCTTATAGTCCAATGGATACAGAGTCTCAGACACTATCAAAACATTCTGACAACACTCATCTCTGCTTCTGTCTCCATTGAGACTTCATTCTCTCAAGTGGGATGTCAGAAGAGACTGGAAACGTGGCCATAAGCAACTAGAGGCTGTCCCCATCTTTCCTCCAGAGAGAAAAGAAAGCATTTTTCCACCAACTCCCAGTTAGAAAAAGTACAATAAAGCATTCTTTCCTAGCTTGAGTTGGATACCCATGCAGGGACATGACCCAATCTTTGTGGCCAAGGGTGGGGTACTACGGTTGGGCAAGATTCTGGTCATGCACCCTGCCACTGGGTGGCATGATAGAGGGAAATCAGGGTGGAAAAGAAGAATGTTCTGACTGGCAACTCCCAACAGAAGCACTGGGCTGGTCTGGGAGAGAAGCACTCCCTTAAAGGAAGGGATAACCCATTACTAGAAAGAAAGAGTAAGGGACAAAACCAACGTGTCCAATAGAGTCTCAACTAGTGGTCAAGTTAAAATATAATGCAATGCTTGCCTCATGAGTCACCCACCCATGAGTAGTGGCAATTTTTAAGTAGATTCTTCTTGATGAACAAAAGGACTTCATGATCCAAGAAATAAATGCCCAATGGTACAATTTCAGACCCCATAAAAATGGAGAGTGAACCAAACTACTATGGGAAAGGAATCCCCTTCCATCCTCCACCAAGTGTCATCATGGGTGCCTACTCTAAAGGTCTGCCTTATTGTAACAACTGAAATTGCAAGAGGGCAAAACAGTTTTTATTCTAAATGACATGCTACTTGGGTTGACGTAAACCTACTTCTGTGTTATAATTACAGATTATGTCTGTAGTTCTAACAAGCAGATGGAGATATTTCCAAATAAATTAGAATATTTTTTACCCAAGTGTACAATTTTTTTCCTCGTTTGGTTCATTTTCTAAGTAAATACGTATATATAGTAGGTTGGCATTCAGCTCTTCTGATCAGAGGGATGTTCCTGATCAGAATATTAGGAATATCTTTAAGCATATTCTCACGGATCAAACAGTGAGTTACCAAACTTTTTCCTTTTCGTTTTACATCAACACAGTAAACTACTTCATTGGCTATGTACTTAAATTACCTCCAAGGAAATAAATGATTTAAGTCAATGGAAAGTTCAACCGAAAAGAAAAACACCTTTCTTATAAAACTGGCACAGCAGGAAACTTACAGCCTGAGCGTTGTTTGTGGATTTTACTTTGCGCAAATAATCACAGCCCAAGGCGGATTCCTTCCGTCATTTCCACAGCCTGCGTCTGAAGTGCTTACAGCTTTATTTACCACCATAATTCACTAAAATGCCTACTGTACCCCTTAAGACTCGCCTTTGGGTAAACCTTAGTACACAAGAACCTAAAGTTAAGTTTCAGAAACAATCTTTGTGTCCTTTGCTTCCTTTGCTTAAAAGGACAAAGCTCCTATGCAAAAGACATTGGTGACTAAGTCCCCTTGTTGGTACATGAGCATGAAATCACTTGCTGTGATGGAACACCTATCTTTTAACAGAACATCAGAGACCTGGTTCAGAGATTTCAAGCCAGTGTACAAATGTACTGTTCTGGATTTTTTTTTCCTTTTCATTCTTTTCTCCTAATATGCACAGCTAGTATACCAAGAAAGGTATCTAGCCTACACATACAAGTTGCCATTGCCCCAGTGACGGCAATATCAATTCTAAGTCATCTCTCAATTTTACTCCTGTTCAGAAGATTCTCCCAGTTAGTGCAGGTAGATCCCAGGACAAGCTTATCCAGGACTCAGTGTCTGAATAGAGCTAGCCATTGTGTTCAAGCAGGCATGGAAAAGGAATGACATTTGAGTGATATTCAGTGACACAAAGATGTTTTTGTTTGTTTTTTTATACATGAAACTTATTGTCAAATTGGTTTGTATACAATACCCAGTGCTCATCCCAACAGGTGCCCTCCTCAATGCCCATCACCCACTTGGCACAAGGCTGTTTTTAAACCCTAGTCATTTTAATGATTAGACTATTGCTGTTCTATATTGTTCAAATAAAATTTAAGAGATTTATCTCTTTATCAAACAACTGTATCAGTCAACTGGGACCAAAATTTTCAAGAGTATCTTTTATCATGATGTCCACCCCAAGGACTCAACCCTCTTATTCTCTCTTCCTGTAAACTTCCTTAGGATCAAAGCTCCTATAGAAACTTGGTGTTAAAAACAAAACAAAACAACAACAACACAACACAAAAAAACCCCTGGGATTTGAGGGTGATAAGAACATTCTGGAATTAAATAGTAACAGTGGTTACACAACATTGTTAATATAGGAAAATGAATGAATTTTACACTTTAAGGTGGTTAATGTGGTGTATTTCATGTTCTATGAAATCTCAACTGGGAAAAAAACAGTAATTAAAACAATCCTCACTGGGATGTAATGACTAACACCTTGTCAAGTTTAAGTGTATTTTAATGAGAGTGCTTTGGGCCCAAATAAAATCTTGTCTTGGTGGAGTTCCAAGCATTTAGAGAGAGGTTATATTCCAATTTGCTGGAGTAAGGCCAATCTTGAGTAGCAGTCCATTTGTGTCCAGATTTTTTTCAACAATGCCATCCTGCCCTTTTTGACTTTCTCTCAGCACAGCTCTTCATAAGCCTGTCCTTCCTCATATTAA